ACTCTTGTCATTTTTCCCCTTGTTCTTATGCAGTGTATCATTAATACACCTTACTTTTATGCTGATTCATTTCAACATGGTACCTTATCAATGATAGGGGCAATTAGAAGCGCCACCACCGAGATGTACTTGAGTGCTTGCTTCTGCCGAACTTTCATTTCCTCCTTTAGTCCGTCATTCTGCATATGACAAAAAACATGAAATTTAGTTTCAATTTGTTTGTATGAGTACATGACAATAATAGATTTAATCATATGATATTTCTTAAAGAAGACAAAATTTAACTTCGTCAGCGGGCTTTGTAACTGCATAGCATCATTCTGCAAATGACTTGAAACATGAAACTACTTCATAATACTTCAGCTCACATATGAGAGAGAGAGAGAGAGAGAGAGAGAGAGAGAGAGAGAGAGAGAGAGAGAGAGAGAGAGAGAGAGAGAGAGAGAGAGAGAGAGAGAGTACCTATGGAACAAGATCTTTATATACAACTCATCGGTGGTGACAGCACGCCGTTGGAAACCGGACATTCAGGTTCAATTTTTTTTTATTTTTTTTTTAACAGGTCCTTATGGCCCTGGCTCCATTTCCATTCTGGGGAGCATCAGTCCGGTTCCTATTCCACTGGCAAGTCAGAATAAAATATTACATCATGAACACACATACGCTTCCTTCCATCTGGCTGAAGGAACCCTGACCAGCATTGATTACTCCAGCAGCATGGAGGATTGACTGTTGGCCTGCTTCTCCCTTTCCTCTCAGGACCACAATAATCGCCTGTCAGATAGAACATAAATGGCAAGAAAGGGCCTGGACGCTACAAAGGCTGTCAATTCTGTCTAAACTCTGATCCCCGCCCATATGCCTCGTGAGGTCCCTACCAATCTGATCCCTACCGACTGAGTTTTTAATGAAATTTATGTACTTCTTTTTGTCCGGAGGCCATAGGAAATGCAGTGGGCCATCTTTGCGGCACGGTTCATCGAATATTTCCAGTCAGCATACAACAAAAGCCGATGCTGGAACGAGCAGACAGTGAGACACGGACATGGGAATGCCTGGGAACTAAAATCGCAGTGCTGAAGAGCCCGGTATGGATCTTCTGCTGGGATCACCCAAAGCATTTCACAGATATGCGGTGTTCGGGGACAATGCTGCCGTGCTGCGCGCACACTACAGGAGTATGAAGCATAATACGCCGGCTTGCACCGAAAATGCACAACAATAATGGGGAAACCTGCACAGGATCAGGGCAAATGCAACTTGCCCTGAGAAAAAAAATAACTGGAGGGGTGGCCTACTAGCTCAGTTGGTGCACCCCCCCTGAACTGAACTGTTGAGATACAGAGCAGGTGCAGAGTTCGAGCCCCACTGGAAGCAGATGAGTGGCATGCTACAACTTTCTGAAGTACCTCGGGCCGATCAGTCCGATGATGATATCTCAAGGCTATTGGCCTCCTCGAAAGAAAGAGAAAGAAAGGAGAAGGGGTAAAAACAGGAAGGAAGAGAGGTAAACAAAAAATTGGAGGGGTTGTTAACTTGTTAGTACTGCTTACTGACATATAACTGGAGCCTGTGAGTTTGACTTCCTGGGTATAGTGTGCGGATTTCCAACAAGGTGCGAGATAACATCGTTCAGAAAGGACAGGCGTGAATGGACCGAGATTTTTGACGCACTGTGCTGGTGAAAAACCAGACAAGGCGCAGTGAACGCTGTGGCTGGGAGGGAACGAAGCAGCACAGAAAGCTGAAATGCCACACAGACTGCGAAAAATATGAGCACTCGACCACCACACACGGTAGTAAAACTGTGCCGCAGCGCCGGTGAAAAACCAGACAAGGCGCAGTGAACGCTGCGTACTGGGTGGGAACGAAGCAGCACAGGGAGCTGAAATGCTACACAGACTGCGAAAAATATGAGCACTCGACCTTCAGGGTCCTTCACACATGGTAGTAAATTAACCTCCTAAAGTGTTTCCCTGGTTGGAGTTAAAAAATAATAATAATAATAATAATAAATTAATAATTTAAATAATATTATAAATTTATAATAATATATTTTTTTTTAAAGAGGAGGAAGTGCGAGGAACACTTCATTTAGCAAAATAGCACATTATGTGCGGCTTTACTCTCGCGGAGGATGCAACGTGCAAGAAACAAACAGAAGCAACCTCGCGGCTACCACTGCATTGCCCTTCTTCTGCTTCGTCCACGCACGCCATGGTCATTATTGCTCAGTTGTCTCCTGGCTTCCCCCTGATATTAGGCATGGTCATTAAAGCTGCATCTGCACCTAAAAAAATGGCCCTGAATACAGCTATATAACGGGCATGTGGAAGGAAGAGAAGACACCAGGCACGCTTGCCCCAGCTTAGTGTGTACCTGCAATACTGCTTCTGCTCCAGTGTCCAGGTCATCCTCTTCATCTTCCTCAAGAGTGGGGACCGCCAAGAGCTTCACAAAGGCCTTCTTCAACTTCTCTTTATCTCCCAGGGCAAAGTAACATATGACCAGGTTGTAACCTGCTTGGTGGTCCCCACTTCCTTCCATAATCGTCTCGAACGAGTGCACTGCATCCTGTACCATCATGACCACCACCCGTTGCAATTTGTTATCATGTTGCTCACGTATTTTTTAAAACAAACAACACCAACAACTCTATCTACTTTCTGGCTGAGTTGGTCTCCCACGCAAGTGGCATTTGATGAGGTTGTGGGTTCAATCCCCCATCATAGGCGTTTCCCACCGAGACCTGTTGTTCGGGGAAAGCGGGATCACGATTTGTGATCATCGAAACGATCTTTCCTCCCTTAGGATCCTCTTTGTTCCTGCCATATCACGACTCGCGAGCTTATCATTATTCCATGGTGGGCGGGCCAAAGCTCCTTTTTGGCCCCAAATACTTTGTTCCGAGCGCAAATGCGAAAAGAAACCGTTATCTTCACCAGGGTTTTGCTTACATGGCCCACAGAGAAGAGAGAAGAGAGACGAGAGGAGAGAGAGAACCCGAGAGTGAAAGGAAGGCTCGACTGAGACCATCCCCGGCAGCTAGACCACTGCGGAATGGGTAAGTGCACCCTCATTCAACTCCACGTATACACTCACGATGCGCCATGCAGGAAAGCAAAGACGGCGACAGCATAACTTCTCAAATATAAATCGCTTCGGGTCCTCAATTTCTTTTGGTTTGTATTTTTGTATTTCTTTGTAGTGCCAAATTGGCAACTTGGCAAGTGAATATGCTGTTTTCCCCTCCTCTCCTGGCCTGCTTTTGCAGAGTCATTCTGTCATCTTCCCAGGCGGCTAGACCCAATTCCCAACGCTCCAGAACTCATACACAGAGATTCCCAATTCCCAAACTGGAACTCCATCCCCATCATTCCAAAAATCCTTGGCTCACCCGTTAGAGTGCATTTTGCCGGGCCTGCACTCCACTTGACAGTGTACAGGAAAGCAGCATTGGGTGTGAGGCCCATCACACTGATGATCACAGTATTAAATGGCACTCTCTCTCAAAGTTGTCTTCAATCAAGAATTGGGAAGAATCTCTCTCTCTCTCTCTCTCTCTCTCTCTCTCTCTCTCTCTCTCTCTCTCTCTCTCTCTCTCTCTCTCTCTCTCTCTCTCTCATGTGTGTAACCTGTGAAGATGGCGCTGTGCTGCAGGTACCTCAAAGACGAAGCTGGAGCCATGGCGCTGCAGGTAAGTCTCCCTGGCCTCCGCCCAATCTCTCTCTCTTTCCAGTACTACTCTAGCTCCTACCAGCGCCCAGCGCTGAAGACTACTGCTAACGCTTCCACTTCTACTGCAGCGCTCCTCCAGAGTGCTGCTGCCGAATCCTGAAGACTACCTCCTGCCTCCTGAACTGCAGGTGAAGTGCCTGGGAAGTCCCTATGAACTACCTGCAGCCTGCAGGGCGGGCCAGTCCTATATAGTGCTGGCCCGTCCAGGAGGCTGCTCTTGCCAATGCCAAAACGTACCAGACCCTGGCGTTGAAGCTCAAACAAAGGTCGTCTTGAAAACAGGCCCAAAATGGCCTGTGCTAAAACCCTGGTCTGGTGCCTAAGTTTCAGGGCNGTGTGTGTTAGATTTTCCCCACAACAGCCCCCAATCCACCCAGGTGAATAGATTCAGAATCAAAGCAGTCTGTCCTATTGCAGACAACGAGAGCATTTGAGATGTCCAACATATTAAAGCAATTTTATAATTAGACAGTTTTTTTGGTTGTCCTTGGGGTACCCCTTTCATTGTTTTTGCAGCACCCCTTTTACTGTGCCTCTTACGCACAAGGCTGCCCACGTTGATTGTGGTTGAGCAGCAGCTGCCCACATCCCCGTGTGCCTTCACGGCCCACTTACACGTTATTTCAGGAGGCAGAGTAAAAGGGAAGGTATGCTCCTGTGCATCTCTTCAGAGCTTCATACTCCTGTTCATTTCACTTCAGATCTTCAGCTTATACAGTCTTTGTGTCCGTCCTTCATCTTCATACTTCCGTTGTGTGTGCGTGTGTGTGTGTGTGTGTGTGTGTGTGTGTGTGTGTGTGTGTGTGTGTGTGTGTGTGTGTGTTATAGAATATCACCACAACTTCCCCTATTCCACCCAGATGAGTAGATCCAAAGTCATAGCAACTTTTCCTGTATTGCAGACAATGAAGCATTCTCAAGATGAGCCAATCCACCAATGAAAGACCTCAGATTCTCTCTCTCATTCCCTTCACAAATCATCACAAGCCATCCGTAAAACAAAACGGTTAGAGATAGGCAAAATAATAAAGAAATTGAAAAAAAATAATAAAAAGAAATGGAAGGTTTGCCACGTTTTTGTGTCTTGTGGTTCAGCGCCAAGTACCCACACACCCGTCTGCCGCCAAAGCGGCACACTTGCACATACACATATTCTGTAAACATATATATTTCAAAGTCCATAAGGGGATGGAGGACAGAAGACAACTTATCGAAGACAGACGACTACTCCAGCAAGAAAGCACCAACCTGACCCCCTCAAAGGTCTGAAAAAAACTTGGAGAGCCTTCCGCATCGGCCCACAAAACCAAAAACTCATTTATGTGTGTGTGTGTGCAAGGCCCCCCAATTCCTTCTATCCATGGTCTTCACCTTTGCCTTTTCCCTCTTCTTTTTTCTCGTCCTTCGAGTGTCCAGGTTGCGCTTTCATCTGTTTGTTCTTAGTTCCATTTCCGCTGTTTCTCTGCTCCAGGGGTGTGGTCCCACTAGCAAAGAGGATCCGATCGAATGCCTGAATCTGGACTTGTTTTCAGAGAGGTGCAGGAAATCGAGATTGAACTTCTTTTCTGCATCTCTGCATAAAACGCATCCAGATTCAGGCAGTCGATCCGATCCTCTTTGCTAGTGGGACCTCGGCCCAGGATCTTTTCAGTTCTGGTCACATTTGCTTTTACAGGGCTGTTTCTGCTACGACACCTCATAATGATGGTTTCGTCCAATCGCCTCCTGTCCGGCCTGGCTTGTTAGAGGGATATCCGGGCGCAAGGTTTCACTTTCTTTCTTTTTTTTTTCTTTTTTTTCTTTTTTTTTTTGAGAAAACATCATTGACAGTTAATCTGCATACACAGTCAGCAGAGCAGAAAACGGTTCAGTGGGCCCTCGCCCCAAGAGGCGTACGGTCGAAGTCCAGAATTATTGCCATTCCAAATCCGTACCTGGTTTGAAATGCATACCTGACTGACGGGCCTAGCTCTTTTTTTTTTTTTTTTTTTTTTTTCTCAGTTGTTACACCCATGAACTGTAGAAATACAGACCCGAGTTTGAATCCAGATGAGTGACATATAGTAAGTCCGAATTACCTGGGGCCAGTCATTTCGATGATGATACCTTTTTTTTTTGCCTTACACTGCCTACCTACCACTACTCCTAATTATAGTATTATGGGAGCCCTGTAGCAGCCAGCCAGAGTTCATAATGCCTCAAAAATGAGGGAACAAGCGGGGGCTTCACCTGACCGGCGGATGGGCGATACCGGCCAGGGGACAGCCGGTAGCATCAGGGACCATGCCAAGGGACACCAGCTGTCTCTGCTCACATCCGATCCCCTTCCCTACAAACATCCCCAGTCTCTGCTCAATGCCGATCGGGCGCTCCAATGGTCTATCTCTAGGTGGCGGGCGCCAAGCATGCCTAGGAAGGTACATGAGGTCAATGGGGATTGAACCCAAGACCTCCTGAATGCTGCCGCTTGCGAGCCTTACCAGCTGGACCATGATGATATATCAAGGCTGCTGCCCTTTTAGAAAAAGAAAAAGAAAAAGAAAAAGGAAAAGAAATGCATACCTGATATTGACCCATTCTTATGAAGCAGTTTGCGATATTCCGCATGATCTTGTACCTTGTGGCCTTTCCATTGCTGGGAATCTGATCCAGTGCCATCCGATACATCTTGATCGCTTGCGGAAACTTCTTTTGCTTGTAGTAAATGTTGCCCATGTTCACTCTCAGCCTTCCTGCCTGACCAAACTGTGCACACAAACCGACGCACAAGTGCAAGGAACCAACCAATGGGAAGTTGGGAACACAACCTATAGTTTGCGAAGCTGTAAAACAGACTCAAAAGCAGGAGAAGCACATATGAGCAAAGTCGTAAGCAGAATTACAGAGCCGAGGGCACGCTAAAGAAGAACACAGTGCAACACACAGACACTGAAGTTTCTTGGTAAAGAAAAAAGCCGAACTTCTCGCCTCCACTCATCAATACAATCACAATGTAACAGCTCTACTATGACGTGACTGCCTACACTACTTTTCCTAGACTCCTACTCTCTCTCTCTCTCTCTCTCTCTCTCTCTCTCTCTCTCTCTCTCTCTCTCTCTCTCTCTCTCTCTCTCTCTCTCTCTCTCTCTCTCTCT